GTTTTATTGCATATTTTTAGCAAGCTAGAGTAAACAGAGTAGATATGGTGCAATTGATTGTCTTTGGAAATCCAGGCTCCAGTGTTGTCCATATGTCCTGCCAAGAAGAGCTCTTATTGGAAACCACCTGCCGAATTACTGTATACTTTCTGATTAACTCTTTACTGATGTGCAGTTTTAAATAAATAACATGCAATAAAACGCTTCTTGTCTGTCTTTTCTATACATTTTGTCTGGCAATAAGTGCAGCCCTTTTGATTTCCAATATAGGCTCTACTTAAACACATAGTAAGACCATGCCAGAGAATGCCTGCTTTTGTAACATGGGCACAATTGTACTGAGAACTGTATCAGGTAAGACAAAATATGTTTAAGGTGCTAAGGCATCTTTAGACACTCTTTGGTAATTGGTGGAAGGGTGGGCATGTGAGGGTTTACTTGGGGAGAATTCTAGACCTCACTATGCTACTCAAAGAAACTTTGAGATGAAAAATGGGCTTGAACTATTGGACCCGGCTGAGAAGACATCTGATGAACTGTGGCATTATTGGAACTGCAGAAGAATACGTACCATGCAAGAAGCCGGAGACAAGGGCAGATGGCTCTCAGAGGAAACCATCAAAGTAGCTGAGAAAAGAAATGGGAAGAAGCAAGAAGACTGAGTGCAGCTTTCCAGAGGGCGCTCCAGAGGAAGAACAATAACCTTTACCGGGATGAGCGGTGTAAACAACTTGAAGCAGACCACAAAGGGTCACACCAAGAATTCTTTTAGGCAAGACAAAAAGATCAGAGGGCCACGTATTGCTCTAAAAGGCATCATTAAAAACAAGTAAGGGAAAGAACTGTCCGACCGATAAGACATCAAGAACAGATGGGGAGAATACACAGAACAGCTGTATGCAGGTAGCAAAGGGGCCCAGCCTCAGGCAAGACAAGTGGAAATACAACTGGCCATCCTTGAGGAAGAGATCATATGAACCAACTCCCAGGCAAGAAGACTCCAGGTGTTGACACTAGGGGTGCAAAGTTACTGAGAACTGTACTTCCCCGAGTCATTAGAGACCTGTGCCTGAAAATCTGGGAAATCAACACATGGCCACAGGATTGGAAATGCTCAGTTTTCATTCCACTGCCCAAAAAAGGGGGTGACTCTCCCTTTGATTGATCCAGTTATCACACAATTGCTCTCATTTCTCAAATCAGGGAGGTTCTGCTTACAATTATACAACAATGTCTAGCATCAGTCATTAAAAGGGAATTTACCAGAGGTCCAAGTCAGTTTCTCAGAGGGTTGTGGTACCCATGCCCATATTGCAAATCTGCTCTGGATCATGGAAAATATCTTGGGAATATCAAAAGTTCATGTCCATGTGTTTTATTGACTACAAGAAATCATTCAATTGTGTTGATCATGAGAAGGTATGGAGAGCCCTACAAGACCTAGGGGTACTACTGGTAGCACATCACGTCAAGTTGGTGCAATCAACAAATCAGGAAGCCAATGTGTGAACACCATATTGAGACCCCAATTGGTTTAAGATAGAAAAACAAATGTAACAAGGTTGCATTCCCTCCCCTTTCTTATTCAAATTGTGTGCTGAAATCATCACGAGGAAGCTAGATCTTGAAGAATAAAAAATTGGGGTAAAGATTGGAGGAAGAACAATATTTGATATGCTTCTGACAATACAACTCTCCTTTCCAAAACCAAAGAAAGCATGTAACTTCTGATTTAAAAAAACCAAGGAAGAAAATAAAAATTGTGGTCTCTTCCTGAACATCAAAAAGACCAAGCTCATACATGGAAAAATTCGCTTTCCTAGTATCACAGACCGCTCAAAGCAGTGAATGCAGCCCAGAAATAAAACATTGGATTGCTCTGGGTCACATAGAAACAATAAACCTGAACCAAATATGGAAAAGCTAAGATGTCAGCCTGGCAATGAAATGTAGGTTAGTCCATTCTATTGTCTTCCTTGTAGCTTCCCATGCTTGGACCTCAAAAAAGCAAGAGAGGTAGAAAATCAACTCGCTTGGACTATGGTGCTGGAGAAGGCTCCTGCACATTCCTTAGACATCAAAGGTAACCAACAAGCAAGTANCTCAAGATCTTAGATGCCAAGGGCCTGCCCCCACTGTGGCAATGAAACAATCAGCCAGATAATGAATGGATAAACTATCTTAGCTAGGCAAAGGAGGAGTATAATCTGATAGGCTTCAGCTTTTCCTCTGCATGGTGAAAAAACTTGGCAACCCCTCCCAGATTTGCTCAGAAATCCCCAGGATATCATGAACCAGTTTGAAAATTCCTGCATTAAACAGTATGTGACAAAAATAGCCGTGGCTTTCTGTCTCTCTGAATCAAGCATAACTTTTCCATGCCTGCTGACAATGTGTTTTGAATGATATAGGGAACAATGGAAATATCTTCTTTACAGTAGCTAAAACGTGGATAATAAAGCAAATTAATTTTTAAATCTTACGTTTTAAAAATACATACTTTTATTATTGCATATTATGGGATGAAGACACACTAGTCTACAGGGACTTTCTATTGAGAAACACAAAAGAAGCTTTATATATTAACATTCTTTTTTTTTTATTCAAAGACATGGTGTTTATTTTTTTATTTTTAGCTCCCTTTCTTTTATCAAATTCCCACAGATAGCATTCAGTTAAGAAGGGAAGGAAAATTTCACACACTATTATTTAACAATAAAACCAATGTTTGTTATCAAGTGTATAGTCAAGACCCATCAATCAAAACCCATCAATTTTCACCGGAAGGGGGCACCAGCCAACCATACACAATACTGTTCTGTCTGGCAATATAATTAAACAAAGCCTCAAATATCTTTCTCTGCCCTTCTTCCGGTGCCTGGCACAATATCTTTGAAATAGCTTTCAAAAACAATTGCATCCAGGCCAAAGGGGGAAGGGGGAATTATAAGCATCTTCTTCCTAGCACAGAGAAAACTGGCCAGGAAACTAGAGATTGACCATTCTACTGTATATTACTTTCCCAAATGAACAATTTTACTGAGACATTTTCTGACATTCAGATATTGCAAAATATAAATAACATTATTTCTGGCTCATTGTGATCAGGAAAAAACTAACAGAAAATATTTCAGTAAATATAGACCTCCATTCATTTCAGTAACACTCTTCTCCTTTAAGTACCGTACATTATGTCTGTAAAAAATGGGAGGGAGGGAATATTATGGAACAATCAAAGATGGGGTAGGTGTTTTTGGAACAATGCAAATAAGAATAGAATTAACAAGTGATGAAAAGGCACAAAAATGTCAAAGATCAGGTAATAGGATGCAACTGTAAAGGATAATCTTTTTTTTTGGCATGTTAAATAAATGTGTCTATTTAGAACTACAAAGTGTTTTGATATTCCTTAGGTTATGCAATGTTTTGAAGCATAGATTTATTTCCTGGATTGCAGTTAAAAAGAGATTAGAAACCAGGGGACATCATCTATTTAAGGGAAACCAGGGGCTTGCCTAGCTCCAAGCTGCAAAATTGCTTCTAGCAATCTTCATCTGACAACACATCTCATTGTTACATGTGCATTGATCCATTAGTTGCGCACCTGTTTCAAATTACCTGTAAAACCTGTGACAAACAGATAAGCAGAATAAATGGTGGGTCAATGAGGGGAGGGGAAAGGAAATATAGAGTAGTGAAAAAGGCAATCCTTGCATAATTTCTTTCAATCAATTAACATTAAGCGTGTAGCCTTATTCAAGGCTGACATCACTGTTATTGGAATAGACCTTTAAAAAGGTATTACAGGTGCTTGACAAAACAGTTCCAGAGAAATATTTAGAGAGAAAGTGTATCTTTGGGAATTCTTAAGGCAATAAGGAAAAGGAGGAGGTGGCGGCGGGATAAAGACACGTGTTCGGGCTAGAGTCTCCTTATCCAGTTTCCTTCTTGAGTGGCTGCGGGTTGCAGGTACTGAGTGTTTTTGGTTACTCAAGAGAATTGCAGTCCTGTCATCCACAGAGCATCCCGAATAACCAAGAAATCCTGTACCGAATCCCATTAATCTCATCTCTGAAAGGAGGAGGAAAAGAATTGGGGAGAAGAAGAAAAAAATCAGGAAGATTCATATAATCTCATCAATTTTCTACATTTTTATGCTGATCATGGCATGGATTTAATTACTGTATTGCTTGACATTTATTTAACATTTAAATTGGCCAAGATTAGTACCCCATATTAAGAAAGTTAGATGTGGAGGTTTGCTTAAGGCCATGCGACCAATTCTTTAAAATGTAGCTATGGTTTTAAATCTGTGCGTGCAGTTTTGGTTTTAAGAAACATTTTTATCTGTAACATCCCAGTCCTCCAACCTGTGATAGCAATACAAATTTGGCTCTTGTATATATTGTCATGGATTCTGTGTCATAAGAACTGCTCAGCTAATCAATATCCTAGTGATAACAGAAAAATGTGTTGATAATGAAATTGTTATAAATATATAATTTTGCTCCCTTTTAAAAAAAATAAAACACATTTAAAAAAATCTTCATGACCTCTCTCAAATCAGATTTCTTTTTCCAGATTTGTCCTTTATTTTTTTCCAAGAAAATAGGATCGCCGTACTTATGGTACATTTATGCTTAGATTACTTGACTGCCCCAGATTCTTATAAATCCCAACTGTGTGCCTTTTATTTCTTGAAAACATCATCTTTTGCTTGTGGGAAATATTTTGTTAAAAAATAAGTAGCTTTTCGGAAATGCTCAAGCATGCAGACAAAAGAGTTTTTGTGCTTTCCTGAGTGGCTTCATCTACAACAGTGTTTCCCAAAGTGTGGTACGGGTACCCCCAGGGGTACGGAAAGAGTTTGGTGGGGGTACGCCTTGCACTGGAGTTTGGTGGGGATCACGTGGGAATATCCACTGCACCGTGCTTAGCTGCGCCCACAGAACCAAATTATGATGATCTGTCATCTCAACTTAAACAAGTTCATCCTTCTCATTGAATCAAATAAATGTTCTTTATAATATAACTTTGGTTTATTTTGCGTATGTACCAAAAAAAGAAAAAAGAAATAAATTTTTATTTTTATTAAAGCATATGTTTTTTATGAGGGGTACTCAGCGTTACGAAAATTATAGAAGGGGTACACATATGTCAAAAGTTTGGGAAACACTGATCTACCATGGCAATTTGCATCTGCTCCTCCCAGGATCATACTTTTTATCATTTGCCCGTAGCTCCTATTTCTGCAAAATAAAGAGATTGCTACAGTCCGTTGAAATTTATGCACTTAAGTCAATTGATATTTGAGCCTTTAAGTAATGAACAGAAAGTTTGCATAGAAGCAGATTTGCAAATTAGGTTTGGTATGAACACAATGTAGGATCAGCTAAACTCTACAATCATTGCCTGGCGCCACAGACCTACAAGCTACATTCAGGAACAGAAAGAGAGATGAGTATGTAGGTCTGTGGAACACTCGCCATTACAACTAGGTAAATAGCGTTACATCTATAAGAAACTTAAGAATTCGGTGATTTTTGTTCCTCCATCATCTCAGTTGCCACTTTTATTCTTACCGCACTACTCTTGGCTGCTCTGAGTATCCTCCTATTGCCCCGCAACTCCGCTGGGTTTTCAAGAGCCTCCAGTCGATGTGTGAGCGCCAGTTTCTGCTGGATCGCCATGCGCAACAAGGAGTTTAGCGTCTTCTTTTCATCTTCTGCAGCTTCCAGTTGCCGTTGCATCTCATCTAGTTGGCTCACATACTGGTCACACCTGGGGACAGAAAATGAAGGCAATAGGTTCAGGTATATGTCCAAAAAAAAAAAAAAAACAATTCCTTGCAAGGCTAACATCACGTGGCCCTTCAACTGCCAGAAACAGCATGAAATCTCATTTGAAATACGGTACAACTCAGATTCTCTTATATCAAGGGAGAAAAGAGGTAGCTTAGAGGCATATTTAGAAATTTCATGCTCGATAAGTTTCAGAAGCCAGAAAGCTACAAGATGGTTTTCAGGATAAGGTTGCTAAAAGGTTGGCCACTTCTCTTAACAGATTATGTAGAGTAATCTTGTGTTTTCATGTCTCTTGTGCACTTTTTGGGTAACCTGGGTAAAACACACTAGAGCAGAAAAGAAACGCACACTGATGTTAAATAAATATGTGGCAAAAATATTTAAATATTTAAAATGCTAATCTCACTGTAGTATTGCATAAAGTATTTGGAAAAATATTCGGATAAAAATACGAAACCAAAGAAAAATGAATCATTTCCAAAATAGTTCTGAAATTAATTTTACATAAAATTCATCACTGATTTTGGACATATGCTACCATATTTTTGTTTCTCAACTTTCCTCCTTAACCCTGTATTCAGGAACTAAAGATTCTTTCATAGCAGTTTAACCATCAAAATTCAGTGCCGAGTTTTCAAAGTGAATAAAGAACGAAATCCAGCAAAGCTACTGGCTGTTCCGTGTAGCTCGCATTCATCCTGTCCTCGCACTATGTTACAGAACAATGGTAGCTATGGAAGAGCTAACCCAATCCTTATTTGACTCTTTGCTCCAAAAAGACTAAAGAAGGCTCATTTCTTGCCTCACTGAGCAGGCCCTGCTTCTAACCTGCTAGCAAACATGGCACGTAGGGAAGAAAAAGTAGCAGCATCCTCCTTCAAGATCTTGAGCTCGTGACGCAACTTGATCATGGTCTCTGATACCAGCACCTTTTCACCTTCGAACTGTCCTTTGAGATTTGAGAGGGCTGCCTCTGCTGTCTGCAAAGAAAGGTTGCACACATTCACACGTTACACAAATATCCTCCTTCATTTGCATCATTTATAGAAAACCTAGAAGCTGAATGCTTCCCCAAATCTTCTGGGTCATCCTGAAAATGCCAACCATGGGTGTGTCGTTGCTGAAGTTTCCCTGAGAAGCTCAGTCTGTGAACTCCTTGAAGGGCAACTGGGCTGCTAGATTAGCAGATTGGACCACATCTGCATAAAACCTTTTCCCAGAAAACAATTGACTGCCCATTTCTACGGTTATACTCTTGGAAGCATTCATTCTGGCTTTTGCTGGCTTTAAAAATAAGCAGGAAAAGACATGTATCTGTACTCCAGATACAACCTAGTATATTTGAAAATGGGATGACCTCCTGAATTTCAACACTAAAATGCAACAGAAGGGCTCAGCAAGCACAAAAGGATGGGAGGAGACACTGGGAGATGCAGCAGACAGCTTCCAAATAAAAAAAAGGAGACCTACAATTATGACTACCATCCCAATTGTATTGGCGCAACTGATGGAAGCTAAGGAACGCATTCTCTTAAAGTCTGGACAGACTGACATGCTTTTTATGGCATCAATATTTGAAGGCCCAGAACTGTAATTAGAATCCTATGTTCTATAACCATGGACATAGTTTTATGGTGACTTTCCTGAAGAAACCCATTTAACTTCTTTCCTTTTGGTTTTCTGATCACTTCCATTTGATCTTTATTTAGCCCTTTCAGAGGAGTTATATTGTACTTTTGTTTAAATTTCTTTCATAAAATATCAGGGAAAGTCTGTATCAAAACCTTTTAAAAGTCATAATATAATGAAAGATAAGGATCTAGTTTTTTCTGTTTTTATTTATTAAATTTCTCTATCATCACAATACAAAAACAAATATAAAACATCCAGTAAGAAAAAGAAAATCTGCAATACAAAAATAATTAAAATCTGAAGACAGCTAATGTACAATATTAAACTGGAGCAACACAACACACAAGAATTCACAAGATGACAACGCATCCCTGGCTTGATACATTAGATGATCACACCTATTACCTTTGTTTCTAACTAAATGTCATGGAATCTGGAGATGTGATTCCCATTACCCTATTGCCCTGATCTACTCCATGTAGCAAGCGGGTTATTATATGAGTTATCACAGTTGCTCAATGGATCCAATTGTTTCCAGAGGATTTTTCCCAACTCCCTGGAAGACAGCTTGGTGTGTTTCTGGGAACAAGAGGCAAGATGAGTGTTTGAAGTCATTTGAGCAGTCTGTCTCTCTGGAGTTTGATCTTGTTTGGTGTCATGGTTGACGGAGGCTCTTAGGGATAGGAAAAGCTAGAAGTGAAGCCTGGAGCACCAGTAGAAAAAGATGAAAAGTGAATCTATCTGAGCATGGGTACGTGCTCATGTTTGGGCCCATACCGGTGGCTAAGCTTTCTCACTGCTCTCATATTCCATTTGTAGCTTAAGGTCACACATTCCCCTTTGGAAAAATCAATATTGTATTCAGCTTGACCACTGTGACTAATTTATATAGTGTTTTGTTGGGGGGGGAAATCACCTATATTCACCAAAACCTTGATTCTGCACTGGCAATCTTCATTGGTGACCAATACTCTGACTTGTTGAATCATCCGGGATCATTTTTGGCCTGGAAAAATCTGAGAAATGGACAGAGCGCTATCTAGACAGTCCTTTGCAACTTGCAGCTTAGATCCTCACTAATCCTGGAGCGGGCCTACCTAGGTCTAGATCAGTGGTAGTCAACCTGGTCCCTACCGCCCACTAGTGGGCGTTCCAGCTTTCATGGTGGGCGGTAGGGTTTTGCTGTTAACTCTGCTTTATCAATTTTATAAAGTAAAGTTACTTCCCTACTTTATAAATCATCGTTACTGTGGAACCGGTGGGCGGTTAAAAAATGTTACTACTAACAGAGATACAAAAGTGGGCGGTGGGTATAAAAAGGTTAACTATCAATGGTCTAGGTAGTCCTAGACCTAGGTTTACAGAGTCAGCATATTGCCCCCAACAACAATCCGGGTCCTCATTTCACCCACCTCGGAAGGATGGAAGGCTGAGTCAACCTTGAGCTACTTCAGCTGACTGCAGTTCTGCAGTTCAGCGGTTCAAATCTCACCAGCTCAGGGTTGACTCAGCCTTCCATCCTTCCGAGGTGGGTAAAATGGGGACCCGGATTGTTGTTGGGGGCAATATGCTGATGCTGTAAACCGCTTAGAGAGGGCTGAAAGCCCTATGAAGCGGTATATAAGTCTAACTGCTATTGCTATTGCTAGTCTCTAGTCTGCTGAACTGCCAGCTGCACATGGAGATGGAAAAGGAGTGGGATCTTGCCCTTTACAGAAAACGCTTGCCAATCCCTGGCCTAAACCTAAATTTGCCACGTAAATCTGGGTATCTTCAGTGCCATACCTGTCTGCCAGGTGACTTCTCCAAGTGGCTTCATACAGGTGTTAAAGAGCCTGGGAGGGGATCCATTCTGCTAGCCCACGGCAGATCGGTGGGGCAACTAGGACTTCCTGCACTTACCTGCTTGTTGGCCTTAAGCACCGTGCGCAGTGTAGCAACCTGTTCACGCTTTGTGCTCAGCATGGACTTCAGTTTCAGCACCTCTTCTACCAGGACTTCTTTATCCCGCTCCAATTCAGCTCTGTGCCCCATTGGGCTCTGCTGATGTGCGATGGACAGGGCCACCTCCAGATGCCCCAGCTGTTCTCTCAAGATCTCGGTCAGATTAGTGACATAAAGAGGCTCCAAGCCGCATGGGGAGCCAGGGCTACTGGATGGCGATCTGTCTCCACTGCTAGTTGCCTCTATTTCTGTGAAGGTATGTTTCCTGGAGGAATGCCTCCTGCGCGCACTTTTAACACCACGACCCTCCCTGTAATAGTCCAATACTACACGGTGGGGGGTTATGTTGTGGCAGGCACAGATGTGATGGTAGAGAGCTGCCATCTCCTCCGAAAAAATAAGGAGCTCCTCCTGAGTCTCAGCCAGCCGCGACTGACACTCTCTGGTAATCCGCCTAGCAACTCTCAACTCAGCTTCTAAGTGGGCGGCGGCCTCTCTCTCCTGCCGGATTGACCGCTGGGCCCTGTCCAGCTCCTCACGGTAGCATTCCCTATTATTGGGCGACAGGCTATCCCCACCGTTATTAGCGCTAGGCTTAGCCTCTGCGGCTGGAAGCTGATCTACTTGACGGCTGCTGCACAGCTGCTGTTGGGCCAAGATCTCCTTAGTCCTGGTCAGCTGTTTCTTGAGATCTTGCAGATCTGAAGCTAGTGAAGCTTTTTCTTTTTCTGCCTATGGGAACAAAGAAAAGATAGGACATAATTTCCTACGGTAAGATGTTCATTGGGTTTACATATTACACTATGCGTTAAAGATGTTGTGTGTTAGAAATAACGTATTCAATAAGAAACACTGGCTAGATTCATCACAGCAGACCATGAACACTGGTTTAACAAACTACCATAACTGGTTTCATGCAACGCATTAAGATAGCATAAAACAAACCACAATTGTGCCTTAATGCAATATATGACTGCAGAGGGAAGAGGCAATCTATCCATATCCTGAATCCCAGATTAGCTCAATTTGCTCAAAAGGGTTTTTTTTTTGTTTAGAATATCACTGGATTCTTTCAAATGCTGTCCCAAAATTTAAAATAAGATTGACATCAAGCTCCACAGCAGGTTGTAATAGGGACAGGGAAAGGCTGTGAACTTCAGGCTTACTTTGTTGGAAGGATGTTTTCTACAAATGTGATAAATTAGAACATCTAGACTACGAAATGCTGACTTGATTTCACTGAGACCAAGGCTATTTTATTCTATCTGTCAGCTTCTGCTTTGCTGTCGCTTCAGCTGCCATGAAACGGGGAGGGAGGGCATGGTATTTGGGAGGGGTTACTC